GGAGTCTATCACGTCCAATATGTGGTGTGCTGAATAAAGTCAAAATACAACAAACGATATAAAATTAATACTATTAATAGATAACGAGCATTATTCGATGGGTCTTTACATAGATCCTGACCTGTTGGGGCCTTCAAAGTACTCCTCTTTAGTGCTTCAGCTACTCGGAGGTATAATCAATCACCACAACTAACTAGAGTAGCATGTAAATATATGTAGTAATAGTAAATATAAATTGCAGGTTCTTTTCTTATTGAAGTCAAAAGCTTGAATAATAATTTGCTAATTAATCGTGGAAAGTTCGACATTCTGCATTTAGTAGATAGAACGCTAAGAATCAATTACAGATCGGTCCTTCGAATATGTACAGATCGTGCCCTATATGTGGCAAACATAAGCCATCTTCCCCGTAAACATAAAAGTCTTCCCCTCTTCCTTTCGTTTCCTTTTAGAGACTTTGTACAAACTTGAAAGTGCATATGAAAACTCTATTAGTACATTCTATCACCGAGTTCCTACTTTAGATTTCTTGTATGGTGCTCGCTCCTTATGAATATTCTAAAAAGACGCTTAACTATAAGGATGGGTGGAAAAATCTTATCAGCGTTGCATAGTGGTAATGGAGACATTAGTATGTACGGAGTATTTGCGATAAGCGGTTGCACGGTAGTACATATAGCAATAGCACCTATGAACGATTGTTTCGTAGTCAAACGTAGTTATGTAAGTCTGATTGCAAGAGTCCGAAAATATACGGACCGCAAACTGCTCGTTACCGGACGCTGATACTAACTGATATATAGCTGTCGTGACGTACGAAACAATGTAAATGCATACACTGAGAGAACTTGAGGAAAGATGTTGCCTCGGTAGATGCGAAGAAGCAAAAACAGAACGATCTATACCGTACGTAGCCATGGCAGTGTCGCGTAGTCGAGTAAACACGAAACACGACCATGAGACAAAGATTTCGGTATTCGATTACGTTACGTACGACCGGTTGATTGAACTGTAAAGATCTTTGCTATTCTGCAGTAGCACTAATCTACGGACCCCACGTCCAAATAAATAACTACGAGTTTAGTATTTAGAGCTAGCCAGGGAAAGCCAGGTGTTACCGAAATCAGTGTTTTGCGCACTTGAGAAATCTATTATTGATGACCCATTCACTGCTACCCCCATTAGACTCAGCGACTGATGCGTCTATGTGCACTCGTTACTGGCCTGCCTGCAAGACCAAAACAGACAGTAAAATGAATCAAAGGCAAGTTACTTTTATACAAAGATATTAGTAATACAGTAGAGTCCATTAGGTTATCGCGATGATGAATCGCGAATTAAATAGCCTCTCCTCAAAGTACTCTGTTTATTTGGGCTATTAATTTGGGGTGATGCGAAGAGCCCCATCTTTTTTGTCCGTATGATAACACCGGCGACTCTTAGATTAAAACAAATAACATGCGTTTTTAAGTGAACCGTTGAGAAGCTCCTACAATCTTACCATATATACGGGTCTAATGGATCTATTTTCTGGATCCTCATTAATTCGGTTCGAGGTTACTTTTATTGTACTAAATAATAGTGATTGTCTATCAATGAACCTACAATATTTTAAATCAAGAACTTCTAACACGGCTGTTGTATAGGTCACATGATCTTAGTGTATATATATTATAAGATCGGTAATTACCTGTAGAAAAAACTTTTTGTCTCTATTTTACTTGCGTACGTAATTCTTTAACATCTGGGTGTGGTACGCTGTAACATCGTATCAATTCACGAACATTAACATGCTTATTTGCCTCGAGTCGTCTCGTACCACAATCATCGTAAACATTTAGGAATCCTTGTTTAAACATTTTATCAACGTGTTGGCTTGTTCAGCGTGACTTAATGATCTCTACGAGCAATATTGCGTATAGCATCGTTTTACGAAAGTACTAATTTCACCATCTGCGACGCGTCTTAAAGGCCGTAAGTCTTATGCCCAATGCCAAACTGATCATGCATACCAAACCGTATATCAAAAAAAAAAATTATCTGTGGATAATTTTGACCCTCTGCTTTATGTATATTGAATCACCTCGAATCCGCTGGAGAAGCCCAGGGCCGAAACCCGCGAGGAGCACATAACAGCTGAACATTTTAACTGAAGTTGGCGCACACTAAAATCTACAGGCTGTTTGATGAAGCTACAATACACACAAGCGAACCTTGTAAAGAGGTCAATAACAAAAACTAACTCTATTGTTTACATCTGTGTGTGCTCCCTTCTTAAACTGATGATTACGTATCTCTATACCATTCGAATATGGTATCAACAGTTCAGGGTGATGCCCTTCAAACAATCCTTGAATTATCAAGATGCGCTTGGCATCAAGCCTTTTCAATGGGCATGCCCAATTACGTACACTCATGTGGGCACGATGTCTTATGCACAGGTCAGTGCACACATCTGTCACAAACCAAACTATATTTGATTTCTACTAAGAACCGGTTTCTAGATATATTTCTCGAAATGACCATAGGATGCTGTTAACTAACTGCAGAAGCTACGTAATGGATTCCTCAGACTATCAGCACCTGTATATTTGGAACTCCTCACTATTCTGTATCCCTGACGTCGAAGGCCAGAAGGCAGTCCGCCAAAAGTTACATTGCACGCAGTAATTTGCTGCCTATGCTATTTTGTTGTTAATATATAAATAGATAAGTTACGAAAAAGCCTTCAATCCGATACAGCTTTTGCTTGCAACTTGTTTGTCACGTTTCACTTAATTGAATTAGAACTAACGGCGGATCATTTACGATTATTTATGTTAAGTGATGTAGTAGCACTATCGTTTGCTTTTTTTTTGGGGGACTTTTGTCCTCTTTTCCTTACTGTATATTTTCTTTTTGTGTTTGATGTTACTCCTATTAAAACATAAGTCAGACTTAGAGACGTTTGCGTTACTGTGCTTTTCTGTGCCGTTCAAGCTTTTATTAAGGTCACCCTTCTCACATCGTTGACACTACATTACGTGTTCCCTATGGATTCGTATATTAAAGAAAAGAGACAGGCAGAACGAAGCATTTACTCACTTTGCATGTCTTTTAAAAAACACCAGGCTCATTTATTTAGATAAGAACTCCTTATATTCAATACCATAAGGATACGCGCGATCGAGTTTTCTATAGAAGCGTTCCGAGTATGGTAGGATGATATAATAATGTTTTAGTTTAGCACTCATATAAAACTTTTCGTAAATTAATAAAGCTATGGGTGTATTAGAATGAACTGCTTGTAGTAACGTAAAGTACGCAAGGTAGATTCTGCTAAATGTCAAGAGGTCGAGTTCGATGCTATAAATATATAATACAATGTAATAAAATATATAAATAAATAAATACTGCTTAATATGGCACAGCTAAGAACGGGCAATTGCTTGAACTGGATTCGCCTCACTGATTTACAGTCGCTCTAAACATTGCAAACGTAGGGGGTAGGCTGCAATTGGCTCGGTCATTCCCTTAATGTACAATATTGTGAAAGTGTTGTACTCAACGTACGCTTATACTTAGTTGAACTTAAAATGCTGAACTTCAATATTGCTCAAAAAACATTTACCTAAATTCCAGCTTTTTGGCCAGAACTGAAACCTCTCATTAGAACTATAGGAACGTTATTTTAAGCGTTAAAATCAACCTATAATCACTTATTCAATCCAAGTACGTATAGCAGCATAGTATCTTATAAACATTTCCTACTATTATTAAAAAAAAAAGACAAAATAGTTACAGGAACTATAGCGGTAGCTCTGCCCATGCTTCCAAAACGAGTTCAAGTTAATTTTTATAAATAGCCACGTAACCTTGCGCACACTAAAATATATTGGATCTTAGGGTTTTACACTTTTATAGATATCTATTTAGTGCATTTCATTAAATATTCACATTTACGAGTTGTGTATGTACGTATCGCTATTGCGTGCTAGCGAACATAGAAAACGTTATAGCCCTTGAAAGCTACGGCTTTTGCTACGTCTACGAATGGATGAAGAATCCTATTTCTAAACTATACAGATAGCTATAACGAACACTAAACCGAATATTGGGAAATGCAGATTGGTGGAAGACTATGGATCACTGGTTCGCTATAGACGTTGATTTGTTGCTAGGTCTTCACACAGCAGCAAGCTGAATCTTTCGTAATAATAAAAAAAAAAAAAAATAGCTTACATTGAGGATAAGCATCTTCGTCGCATCTCCGACAATGGCCAAGAAGGCAAACCGAAAATCAAAGGTGAGAGTTAACAGAACTACACAAAAGCTAGGGTATTACCGGCTGCTGCTATTTCTACTCCTACCACCAACAACCTGACTTGTTTGCGCAGTAGCGTCTCTCTAATTCTTGTTCTTATCCGGGCGCCACTCTTCTACGCAATCTCGCACTTCTTTCCTGACGCACTCCGCCCACATGCAAGTAAGTACACGTACATACGTATAAGCCGAGAGACACACGCCTATCGACAGGGAATAGCTTGTAGCGATGCAGATAGGGCGCTAAGTTCGTTTTGGCTAAAAAAATGTGCAAGGAAAACGAAAGTAGGATTCATAGCGGGATATATAACCGGATTGGGTACGGTCCAATCGACTGGCTCCATAAAAAGTGGTAAAAAAGATCAATTGAGTGTTGAATCAGAGCACATAATTTGAGTCCCCGCTGAAAATGCGCATTTTCGAAACGGATCCTGTAGTACGTATGACTTTGGTGACGGCCGGCGCCGACGTGTACTCAGTACTTAAGCAGACAACTTTAACAAACTTGCCAAGTTCTGGAGGATTAGGTCATTGACACTCGCGACTACGTTCGCAGATCAGTTAGTTTTAGCTAAAGTATGATGAATGTTTAGCGCTTATAGATCAGCAACTAGTCAGAAATCATCAGTAAAAGCTGCTGCTAGACTACAAGCGAGCAAAAGGAACCTTCCTGATTTCTCGTAACAACCGTATCTTACCGAAGGTAAGTGTAACATCTCGATAATCTTCAGATTGGCGTCTGTCCAAAATAGAGTTTCGGAGCCATGATCAATGGCGAGTGCGTTAGGCCATTTAAGTCCATTTTGAACAAGAACAGTCCTTGAGCTGCCGGCCATTGTGGAGCGCTCAATTTTCGGAAGGTCACCCCAGTCTGTCCAATACATGTACCTGCAATAGATTGAATAATTATTAGTGAAATATATCCTTATCGCACGGTCGCATCATTTCTGTCCAATCAAAAACGTCGAGCTGCTACAGTAAAGAGGTTGTATACATGAGATCATAGTACAGCTAATCGTATAGGCTCTAACGATCATTGAAATTTCAATGATTTTTTTTTTACTTTTTATTAGTTAAAAATTGAGCTAAGAAATGTGTTTGTGTCGTTATCCAATGACAGACCTTAAAAAAAGTGATGTGCGCTAGAGTTAAACGGGGCATAATCCACCTTAAATTCAAATTATTCTAAAATTTAATATACGCAATTACCTGTGGACAACAATTTCTATCTTGAACCGAATCAATTTACACACATCAATTACATTCATTTGTATTACATGCGTGCTCCTCTCATAAACGTACACATACACATGTTGGATTTGAAAGTCAATTACAACTTAAGTGCCACCCAAAACATTTCTACGATAGCGATGCGGTAAAAAAACAAACTGTTCAATATCAGTTTATTCTCGTCAATAGGACAAATCTCTCTTATTTATTTTCATGTTCTCTTTGTAGCATTGTCGACCATGGACATCAGAACGTATTCTAAGAGGGAGCAATAATTCGTCCTTTTTTCACGTTCCTGGGTAGAAGAAGGCATTGTCCTGCCTTTTCATTATTTTCTATATAAAGAAATGTTTTTCGGTAATGACATTACTGTGTAGGCTTAGTAGTTTCGGCACTGGTGAAGAATTGTTTATGACGGTCTTGTGATGCGTTATCCAAAGGCGCGGTCAAGGATATTGAAGGCAGTAATACTTTGGCATTTTTAGGTATAGCACCAAGAACCTGCCACCTCCAGAAAATACTAGACCTGATGTGGAACTGAATCGTGTTGTTAAGCCTTTCCTTTCCTCTTTTAGCCTACTTTATATATTGCAACTTCGATTTTTTTTACACGGAATACAAGCCATACCCTGAAACAGGTTTCCCAACTGCGATGACTTGCACGACGCTTACTATGCATGCAAATGTTAGCACGACACCACGAGCGAGCTGTCGACCTATTGAAGGCCAAAAGTTTAACACCTATTGCTCAGTTGGTGAGTTTGAAACATCAAAATGTCCTTTTTTTTCTATGCAATACAATGGACCACGTCGAAACAATATTTTCTATCAAATAAGCCCACAATTTTGCTACTAATTTACAGTGCCTATACGATACCGCCCAATGTGGCGCAAATTTTCACGCGCACATGTTTCTGAAGAGGGAACAGCACTTTATAACATCCGTTTTACACGTCAAGTCAGGTTACGAGGTGCATTTTTGAGGAAAATCTGACAGGCTGAACACCGTCTTTTGGCTACCGTTGGTTCTTAGCAAACTCAAGATCCGAGCAGTTTAATGTCTGCGTATAATGTATATTGAAAAATGACAATCAATAACAGTTGCATAGCATACGAAGTGTCCGAGAAAAACGGAAAAAGCATTCTTAAGCTGATTGGCGCCAGACATTTTCGATGGTCAGCCAGCTTATGAAACGTAGAATACTTTTTTTACTTGATAACGGCCTACTCTCATTCGACAGCGAAGGGTGTCCGTAAAAATGAGGCACAGCTTTGATACGGAACCGATTTGCCTCGAAATAAAAACCGAGAATTACTTAACTTTTGACAAAATTTGGTAAACAGTGAATACATTCACAGCCACTTGTTTGCCATACAAATCTCGCTACTTCAGCAGCAGCGAGGACGTAGATTACGTGCAAGAAGCAGTCAGCCATACTAAATGCTTGCCAACAGCTGCATCGTTCTTAAGATGATTAATAGTAGTTGTAACCGAAAGTGTTTGCATATATAGTTTTTCAATTACAAGGAAGCTTAAAACTGCAAACCACTGAAAGTATCGCTACTTTCATGAAAGAACGCTGGCTATAATTATGTTATGAGCACCGCAGCTTTTACGCCTACGATGAAATACGAATATTTCGCAACTACGAACGCCAGGCGTCGCGTAGGCCTTCTGAATCTTTGTTGATGCTATATAGCTTCGAATATTGAAATCTCTCTGGCTCATTTCTACTCAGTTTAATTAATTAAATTGACATTATGTACAAATATTGCGTTAAAACATGAGACATTTTTCAATAAAAAACCCATACGTTTTTTCCATGCGAATAAATTACGAAACCCTAAACTTGCAAGCTTTGCGTCATGTTATTAGAACACGACCACATGCCATAGAAGAACAACGAAAAAAACCTGTAGAACAATGCTAGGACTATAACCGGAAAATAAATTTATTATGCTTTGTCACACATTTATGTTGTTCAGTTAATAATTGTTTTCACTAGTCGACTAAATTCAAATCTTAACATAATTTGAAGAATATCTAAGATTTCGGACCCTGGACAACACAAATGAGTGACCTCTAGGGTTAAATATAATTTACAGTATTTTACCAAGTATATGCATAGTAAAAGACTAGTGTCGCATGACGATCCAGAATAGTTTCGCTGCACCTGTAATATTTTCAAAAAGGTCTGCCATAGAGTTCGAAATAGATAACTCACTCCCCAGCAATTGATTCTTCCTTTTTGCCGTTCACTCCGCCGATTCTCGCATTATCAGTTTACGTTTAAAGTGACCTCGTGTGTAATTTTCTGCTATAGCAACATTACGACGGTTAGACCAACTCCTTCATGGCATCCGGCATGACTTCCGCCAATTATATCTAAAAGCGCGATCAAGTTAATAAGATAATCAGGGTCCGAATTGGCCTATACAATAAAGTCGACGACTTTTACACCTAAGGACTCGTTATTTCAGTAGAAAAGAACGAGGTTGCTCGTAGATTGCTTATTGCCCTGCGGTCGTTAGCCTTCCGTTTGCCGAAGCAGGCGCACTTCTCGACATGCTTTGCTTTCGAGCTTGCGTATTCTTGCACTTGAGGAAAGGCAGTTGGCTGTAGCTGGAGTCAGTGCGTACTCGGCCCGACGGTCCCGTCTACGGTCAAAACGCCGGACGGCGCGTTCTCTTCACTATTTAAGTACTCCTGACGAAATGAACGTACTTGAGGCGATTTGCTCACCACACCCCTCTAAATAACGACCGCGCGACACCATTCTTATAGAAAATGCGATGCATTGGCAGAATACCGTTTGAGACTTCGCGGTAACGCCAGGTTAGCTACGTCTTGCTTGGGATTGCTTGAGAAGTTGAGTGCGTCGACTGGCTAGCGAACACCCGTAGCGACAGGTCGAGTGACTCTGGCAGTGATTCGTAATAATTTCATTCGGCTTGAAGATATTAAAGTTTTTAAGGGGTAATGCTAATAGGTTTCTGCAGGATGACAAAAGTAGGATTCCCAGAACTACTATTACCATCATTACGTGTTCAGTATAGCAACGCTAGCGTACTATAAACAGTAGGGGGCAAACATGTAACTCTTAAATTCAGCCTAAATGTTCGTTTGGGCTAGCGCAGGAAATGTAACATTTGCTTTCTTTTTTTGCTGCATGTAATTAGTTTACTTACCCTCGTCCTGGATCGACCACTATTCCTTTTGGTTTTAGAAGATTTTGCCAGTGGAGAAGTGAACGGAGTGACCCATCGATGTGGCAAACTTCGATACGAGCGTTCATTGCATCTGTCCAATAAATTTTACGATTGATCCAATCGAACGCAAGATCGGCTGCATTGGCCTGTGCAACCATCTAAAATGCACATGCAAAACCATTTTGCAGGTATCATTCATATTTAGGTCTCGATAAGTCACAGAAGTTTTCCATTAAAGTAGTTAACACAAACAAAGAAAGCTATCAATAATCGGGTTCATCCCTATTTTACTAATTCAATAATATCCCTAAATGACCCAGGCTCGGCTCTATTTCTATATAGACGTGCTAATTTCCCGAAGACTCCCGAACATTTAGACAGCCATATACTGAAGGTAACTTTTTCTTTAAATTTAAGTTTTAGGCTAATTGTGTGTTTCATAAATACAGCGGTACTTCGAAAATTTTTTTCTAACAGGCCAGTGTCGCTTTTCCGTCAAGCAGTAAATAGTCGCATACTGAGACAGCGATATCGATTTAAAAAATAAATGGGTTCAGTAGACACGCACTAAATCTTGTCTCAACAATGTCAAATTGCTGTTAATATCCTAAATTCCGGTGGGATTTTTGTCAAAGTTTTCTAGTTTTCAAGATGAATTTTCTTACGTTGATCCCCTGTCATCTTCCTTCGAAAATGAGCATGACCATCTGAACATGTTACAGCCGTCGAATTTTACTTAACCTTCCTTCGTAGAGATACTCAGCTTTTCAACAGACTGCGCCTGTGGTCAGATAGGCAGCCATCTGTTTGTATTTGACGGTACATAATTCTATCGTGCAGTAATATATAGATTTCCTAACGTTATAATATTTATTTTAAATATCTCTTCGTAGATAGAATGCAGTAATATTATAATTACTGATTTTATAAGGCGTCAGTGCGCGAACCATCCGCAGCGTAAACTCTATCGAGCTAGACGAAAATCATTAAAGCACGCCAGTTTGGTTGGGCGCTAAATCGAGTGTCCCCCGTATAAATAGGCTTCTAGTGTCTACTGAGATTTAATGCATAGCTATTATTGCAACTATAGATGAGATTTTATATGTGACATACAGAAAATATAGAAACAGGTGATGTACTTTAGATCAAATGGTATTGGGAGACGAGACAATACGTTGTACGGACGCTTTACTAAATATTTCATTTAGCGGATTTTTAATGTGTTACTTATTTATATATAAGTTACAAAAGTTACCACTTAAAGTTAAATCATCCATCATCATGGATCAAGTTATCATACGTAGAGAACTACATATGTTTATTTGATTTAATGTTTTGGACCTTTACATGTGAAATCTAAAGTTTCGCGACGTTGTTGATGCTCACGAGTAATTTTATAAATATCTCTAATTTCTGAACGTTTCATACCTTCTGATTGGTTCCATCCCAGAAAGCGGTCCAGATCGCCTGGTTGATGCGGTCACTCCAGAAGATTGACCCCGAAATGTGGTCAAACTCAAGGGCCATCGCAGAAGATGCGTTTCTCAGAGACCCGCTTCCAGACCGGTCTTTATCCATTTCATGATCCAAGGCCATTGGTACATCGAGAGGATTTGAGCAATGCACGCACATTCGCCTGATGTCACCACGGATAGAAAACAGGATAGAGTCTTCTGGCCCTGAAAACGACAAACGTTCGTGGGACGCTATATCGCATCGATGCAGAGGTCGTATTCAATGCATGGAGATCTCTAATCGAAGTACTAATAGTAAAACGACAAAGCAAAAATGTCTATATCTGATTCATGTGTCGAGTTTTTTTTTTCATTTCATTAGTAGTTTGATTACATTAGTAGGAAACTAATGTAATTAAATTTACGCGCACAGCTTCAGACATTCAGCGACAATGATTTATTTGATTTATCGCAAACAGAACCTAAGCATTTACTGATACTCCCACTATTTTAAGCAATGAAAATAACCTCATAATTGAAGATCATGCACATAATCAATCTAAATAGTATCTTCGCTTTTTTTTTTTTTTAAATATATTTCTACGGCTAGCACGAGAGTACTACGAAGTCTCCGCAATAGATCATGGCCGTTATGGTATCGGTAAACTAGGAGAGATTACTTTTCGATATGCGTAATAACGACATGGTTACGTCTCAATGTACCGTCAATCAGTACAAAAGGTGGACGAGTTAGTTTTTTTTGTATTCTTGGATATTACAGTTTGTTAAAGATATATTTTTAAATTCACAAATTTCCAGACGTCCTGTAATCTCATCGCGTTTCCCGATAGCGTTAATATTTCTATTTTTCATCGTTACTGCCGGCAAAAGGCCTCAGTAAAACGCATGCTTTAATTATACATATGCGGCGCAACAGAAATATTCAGTGTCACCATATAATAGTTATATATAATTACGTGCCATATTGGACTTTCAGTGCAACCAAAAAGGCAAGGTGGGGTATGGATACCTTGCTTTAAATTGTCGTGTAGTCAATATGCGTAAGAAAAAAACACGTATTGACGTATGAATATTTCACTTTATTGTTGACATAGTCCCAACGACATATCATGTCTAACTAAAACATAATTTGTAGATTTCAAGTGTCTATTCTGAAAAAAAGATCAATAAATAGTGAGATGACGGTTTTACGACGATCTAAAGTAACAATCGTGTGAAACACAAATAAGAATGAATAAAATCGGTTGAATTGTAAAAAAGAATTATATATATATATATATACATAAAGTGTGCATGAGTATCTAAGTGTTTGCCCACTTGCCGGACTGCGTACCTACAGCGCCAGTACAAATATTACAAAAAAATAGAAAGTACAGAATATCCTCCATAGAGATAGCTATGCCTGTTGAAACGAGTCTTTTCATTGTCTTCGTTTATCGTCGAGCAACGTCAATACAACTAAGCCATAATACATACATTGTGAGCAAGTCCGATTATCGGCTAGCAGAGTAAGGCCATCGGGGCAGGCGCAGCTGAAGGTCTTCAGGTTTGAGAAGCATATGTGCGAGCAGTTGTGTTTTGAACAAGGACTCTCGCCGGATGGTTGTCTAAGTGGATGTACCACTTTTACGTCCATGGGGTAGCTGAGGTTAGCTACAAGTACCTCCGTCTGCTTTCCAGCTTCCTGTCCAAATTTACTGCATCGATGAACAGCTATGATACAACACAAAGCGTGACAAACAATTATAGCACTATTGAGACACATTTCAATGGCGTCATATCGTAAGTCAAACCGCATTTTAACATAATCTGAATGGTATATTCACAGTAAGCCAAAATGCAACGCATTGAGTCTTACTATTAGTGACACCATTTAGAAATATCCGGTCAAAAAGGAATTAAAGCAACCAATGATTCAATAGCAAGAGAACAAAGTGCAACTAGAGACATAATGTCGGTGTAGTTTAGTGGGTAACATATTTGCCCACTAATCTTAGGGACACGTCGTGATCTAGGCTTAAACCTGGGCATAGATACGCTTTCTTTCGTATTGAGAGCCAACCGTCAGATGAAATGACTAACGACGATACCGGACGTGAGACTCAAAACATAGCTACCTATAGGATGTTTTTTTATCGTATTTGTCAAATGGGCTACATCAAGGGCTGGGTTAATTTGATCTAGATTTATCTTGAGAAGTTTTTAAAATGAAATTTTCGAAACAAATTGTAGTAAGAACTCCTGGTGATCAAATCGCCATTGACTAAGCGACGGTCTAAGGTACACTCTAAATAAAAGTTATTCTTTTCCGAGCCTGATATAAAGGAGTAGCGTATAAAATGCATTTTTCTTTTTTCACTAAAATCGAATATAGAGAACATTTCTATTGATTAATATTTGTGAAGGCACTAGCACCAAAATATTTTTCCCAGTTCTGTCAGTGGAAAACCTTCAACATTGAAGCCTATTTGACTTCAATAATAATAATTACTACTTCAATTAATATTAACATTGTATGCCCATATTTCACTATTGTTGAATTTAATCAGTGCACTGTTAGATTTAACAGATGGAATGTTATAGATGTCCAAGAGATCAATAAATATAAGCTCCGAAAGGGGCATTTCGATCACGGATACAAAAGTTGTTTTTGCCAAGGCTGCTTCTTGGCATCGAGCTAGCTGTTACTGTTATTTTACTGTCTGTAATTCTAGTTTATTTGTTCTATCTTTGTGGTTATCCTAGTAGAGTTGGGCAAACATGAACTGATTCAAAAGGACAAGTTCTGAGTAAATCGTAGGTGGTACTGGCACTATTGCGATGAAGCCTTACCCATTCTTCAATTAGATAGCATATTCATTAAGCTAGCTATAATATAGTGGGAACGTACGTTATCTAGACAGAAGAAAGGAATCATTTTAAGTTATTTGAAGTATTGTTTTTGTCCAACAAGTTAAGTTCGGTTCTTGGGTAAGTTTACCACTATAGCTGTCGTCGACGGTTCACCGTACTAACGAGTGTAGATACTAAGGAGTGTAGATAACCTAGATGAATTAAACTGTACGGTAATATTTTGAAAATTGTGATCCGAGAATTACATATCGTGCTACGGATTACGGTTTCGCGTATTTCTGGAGCAATGAGTGCATTAGGTTCTCGTGCCCGGTCATAATTCACAATATCTTCGCGAGTTTGAAGACAAGACGCTTTATTGGGGCTAGCTGATATGGAAAAAGCTTCCACACAGAAAAGATACGCCATATATATAATATAACCATATGTAGTTTTGCTCAGCTTGAAGTACAGACTGTTGATAAATATTAGTATTAACTATGAAATCCTGCTATATCGATTCTGTTAATTCGTAGTAGGTATTTTACTTTTTAGATACATTGTTTTAATGATCCGTCGCTATGTTGGATATGCATGTATATCCTACAAACCTCCCCCTGGCCTTGGTCAGTTCCACGACATATGTGATATTCAGCTACCTAGATAAATAACCGACCTTCATTTCGAAATGTCCAATATAAATGCAAAAAAAATTACTTCTTATGCAACCCAGGCCCATCTTGTCTCTGTTTCAAGTTCGGTATTACCATTTTCGGTGTTACCAGGCACTAGGCTATCTCAGCACGAAACGAGGTCTGTCTATAAAGTCAGATCACAACGTATCCCTGCGATTAGCAGGCAAACTCGTTGCCCACTGAACTATCATTGGGATAGACCTACATTATCAAACGAAAGCATTTTACCCAATTTCTCCTATATTATTTCGTTTCCCATAGCAACTAAATCACTACCCAGCTTAATGTAAAAAATCATTCACTAATTATTAAGATTTTCGCGAAACTCAACATTACAATGGTGAAAAATACTTTTTTTTTTTCGAAACAGATTTCGAACTTGAAAGACACAAACAGGCTTTCATACATTATTTAGAAATTCTTGGATTGTGCAACAAATTACCAAAAAAGCGGTACATATAGCGGATCAACAACAGAGGGCTGATGTAATGGGATTTTACATAACTATTTTCAAGAAAAGTCTATCTGTTCTGGAAAAAAAGTAGAATGTTTCTCAATTGTTATGGAAAACCCTCTTCCTCGTAAGGAAGCTTTTTTCCGGGTAAAACCAAATAGCTTGCTGAAAGATGCCCGGCTATGAGAAGTCTGCTGACTAGTTAGCTTCCAAACCCCACCCGCTTTGGAAACACCCTTTGGGCTCCCCAAATTGGGACCTTGAAACGGTAATGTTTACTTCAATAGTTCATAAAAGTGCATTACTTACCGCCAGCTGCAGCTGATATTGCGGGACGTGATAAATGAGTAAATCTTGTATGCATAATAATATTTGTCATATCATGACCAACATGTGCGGTATCTGGCACTTTTATAGAATTCCTATTCTTTTTTTTTTGATATGGTAACAGGTGGTGTAGAAGGGAACTTGAGAAATTATCTGGAACTAGCTTTGAGTCATCATAGCAATGTTTACTAAAGTTCTGATAGGAATTCGCTTCAGTCAAGGGCTTCTGAACTTAGCGTTTTTTGCACAATGCATTTTTTGTGTGAAGACATCGTCTCACATTATCTCAGGCACTTCTAAGACCTCGCTACTGGCCTCGTTTCACCAACTTGAATAAAGTTAGAACTTTTGTTATGCATAACTTAGGAAAAATTGATTGCATTCAAACAATTGCGAGCATATGTTGAGAAAAAAAAAAAAAAAAACAGATAACTTGAGAAATCTTTTAGGTCTCAACTGAATCTCGAACATTTAGAGCTCTCAAGAATGTGGGTACGATACCCACACTGCGAGCAAGCCATACCTATAGACTACTAGTCTTAACGAATAGCTGAAACTTAGTCAGTTTGGTATCAAAATATAACCACGCGTTCCCGCGTAGGATGAACTTTTTTCAGGCGCTTAAAATAAAGCACATGTTTATAGTAGTTGTAAACATATAGTTTATCGCTGAGAAACCTATTGACATTACACTAAACGTTTACTTACATATTGAGATAACACTAGAATTTTACCTTATTCTTATTATTTTCTAAATAGGTGGACTTCATTAACGAGGAAAAACTGATACGATAATCAATGTACAATTCACGGAACTGGAACATTCTACGTCCGAAATTTTATGAATTTAGTTTGATTTATTCAGAAGCCAAATTTTCTTTTGCTCACATTTAGTCATCCAGTCGGTCCAGAGAAGGTTGTCCTCGAATACAGATACCGCAAACGGATGGGGAAGACCTCTTTCAACGACTTTACGTCGACCGTGGCCATCGACAGTGGCACACTCCAGAGTATTAAGTTTTCCGTCTGACCAGTAGATGTGTCCCGTTGGATAGTCGACGGTGATTCCGTTTGGCCAAAATAGAGACTCGTTAAACAACGTGCGGCGATCCGAACCGTCCATAAAGATACGTTCAATTCGCGGATTATCACCCCAGTCCGTCCAAAATACCATGCTAAAATCGAAACAAGACACAAATTACGACCGAATGAATTAGCTGAATACAAAGTGACAAGGATGTCAATAAGGTATTCGTTGATTAGAGATAGTCAGCCGATTCTAAATAAAGCGTTTTTGGTTTTTAGTTTTAACGTAAACCTACCTGCCCTTGTTTCTATCGCAAGACGAATGGCGAAAAATATTCTCAACTTATAGAGCCCAGAAATAAGTTTTCGTATGTTATCACATTAACAGAAGGCAAAGCCAATCTATTCTAATATGTTAGGGTGCTGAATAAGCAGGCGCGGGAATGCTAGAGTTAGATTGAAGAAGGTTTGATTGAGTTCTATTTCAGACGTGGCCAGTTTGTCAGCGATACTCCAGTACTAACAAGTCGATATTTCGAAAACAGAGAAGGCCTTAAAGGTAGCCTCAAGCGCAGCAGAAGGTCAGCATTCACAATTTGCCTTGAGCTTCAGTCTATGATTCCGATGGTAATACGGTCTATTAGCCGTGTCTTACAACAGCGCTTAAATTTTAATCTTCTGGGTCTCATACTTTATTACACTTCATAATATTCTTGTGCGCTTGCAATAGGTAATTTGAATTGCCCTGAACTGAACTTCTGGACGTTCTTTATGGTAGACGTTTTTCAAAAGCGTAAAGGAAAAACGTAGAAATCGAAGGTTGTGTTCTTTCAAAATCGAAATAGAAATGAAAAGGAGCGGACTTACGAGAGTAGTGGATGAAGCGCGACCCCTCGAGGCTTCTGAATGTCTGTGTAGACAAGCACTTTCCTATCAAGCCCCGTCAAAGCAGATGAGCTCTCGATTCGAGCCGCTTTCGAATCTGTCCAGTAGATTCTAAAATAACAAGCAAATTTAGAAAAAAATAAAAAAGAACAAAAACAAAAAAGGATTTAGAAACAATGCAAAAGGTGCGTACACACATCATCGAATATATATGATGGCGCATAGCGGCACGAATAATAATATAGAAAAACACAAATCGAGACACACGTTACTGACACATATTTGAAAATTTTTCTTTTTCGTAGGAATGCTTACGTAAGCAACTAATGGCACATGGTGCTAAATCTTAGTAAGAAACGTTTCCGCTTCAAAATGAGAAATTAAGTGTTTAACAGTATCCTATATAATATGTCAATGAAGTCATGCATGCAACACTTCGGGATAAATGGAGCCTCTGTAATATATATTCCTCCAAATAGAGATTTTTCTTTACTGTTTTCATCATCATCATTTAGATAATGCTAAGACTGTGATTTACGGCGCGTATGTCGTATGTTCGAATCTCAATTTAATTTCGATACAAATCGAACCTGTCATATTTCATTGCAGGGGCCCTTTGATACAAATGTCCAGCGTTTTTATAAAAGGAACAACCTGTTAGAAATCCAGTCTGCTGCAAGACCACCGGCATTCGGTAGCGCACGTGACACAAGCGTGTTGATTTTAGGTTCGACGCCAGGAACGATTGTTTGATTCATGAAGAAGCTCTGAATAGTCTTTTGCCGAATGTCTGACCAAACGAGGAGACTTAAATGATGAATGAAGTCCAATGCGACAACGTTCTGAAACTTGCTTAGCATAACGCTATAACCGGTACGGTCAGATTTAAGTTTTCGGATATCCGTACAGTGTGCAAACAGGATAAACGCCTAAATGGAACATGTAAAAACAAGTGATTTTGTAACAGGGACATTAAACTACCTAAACTCCATTAATCTTTTTAGAATTCTATAAATATCTTAATATAGATGATTCAATTTTGATCTCTTCACAGTAGTTAATGTAACTCGAATGAAAACACTTGATTCTTGACGTACGTACATTTAAACGAACCTAACATGAGTACTTTCTTGAGAGCGACTTCTAAAAACAACATTGAATTTCAGAACCCAGAAATCATCAGGAAAGATAAGTCGCGTAATCTTTTACCTGCACTGAGTAAATCATTCAGTTTACACTGTCCCAATAATATATACTTCCTTTGCAACATGTGTTACTAAATAAAGAATTTCTACATATTTGTATGTGGATGGCTTTGAGCGAAACGCGAAGGAATGCGAATTCGGCATATATATAATATTACTTTAGAGAATCATATAAGAATCCTAGCATTTTTGGTTACTTAGCTTTGTACTTAGTACATATATGGTACGACTATTTGTATGATAGATTTATAGGTCAAATCAAAAGTTTAGAACGATTTTAAGCTCTAAATCTTTATTTCCTCGCTATAATTAATACGTTCGAAAGCAGATTATTTAACTTTATAATGTATTTACTTCAATAGGTATACATTTTTTTAATCTATCTATAGGTATCTAATTTAGGTAAATGTTCACCTCGGGTCCTTGCGCTTTGCAATGACGGCGATCGTCGCGAAGTTTGTAACCACGGCTGCAATGGCACTGGTATCCAGGTACTGTGTTGGTGCATTCATGGCTGCACATACCCAACAGCTGGCATTCATCCACATCTGCATTGCCAATAATTTTTTTTATACGACAAAGTATTTGTTTCCTTTATTCCTAGGGAATACGATAAATGTGTTCCATAAGGAATAAAGTATTCCTTATAGAATACATTTATCGTGTTTACATGGCCAGACTCAAGACCACTATGGCCGCCGAGCTATTCATTTGTTTCGTAATTAACAGGCAGTAGGTAAACAATACATCATCAAATTCAGTATCGTATACATATCGTAGCTTCTATAAGCATCTTAGATAGCTTGAAACCATAGGTCCGTAATAATTCGGACTTTGTTATTAAGAGCGTAATTAGATGGCACGATTTAACACCTATGCAAATAAGTATTGCCTAGGAACGTCATAACTAGAACAACTGAGGCAGGCTAAATACAGTAAGGCAGATGGGCCAAGGTTTAGCAAGTCGCTTTGCTAGTGCGAAAGAAACAAGAATTGTGCAGGCGTAGGCCTTCTAAAATCGTCACCTAAGTGATTGAATAAAGGAGCGCATATAAACACATATCCAAGGGCATTAATGTAAGCTATGTATCATAAGTGCGGCAGGAGAACGTGGTAGTTAACATTCACTCTGGCATATGGAGTTGAAGAAAAGGAAAAAGTTTAGGGATCCTACTTTTATTGGATAACTCCATCGGCGTTGGTAGAAAGAGATGTTAGCAGCGTCGCAGCAGTCCCACTAAAGCCTGCTCTGACTTCTTCAGCGGTGAGCTCGTAGTCATCGCTAGGCATCTGGAGATTGGTATTCAAGCGGCTCAGAAAAAGAGAGCACAAGGATAGAAGCGAGAGAAAAAAAAGTAGAAACATACGCAGGTATTGGCTTCCTCTGTGGCTCGCGTCGGCTTAGAGATCCCTAGTCGGCAACAGGCGAGTTCGCCAGACCTTAATTTACATTAGTAATAACCGGCATCAGCGTGGATGAGCTCGCGCGTAGTAGAGCTGCAAATCTTCGGTAGCTGTGTACTGCGGTGCGTGCCACCACCAGGGCCGGACCGACCCAGTGACTGCTTGTATGCCTAGCTTTATGGCTGGTTGATTATGTAGTTGGGTGTCTGCTGCTAGCGCCACCACAACCCCCGTAAATGTCCGCTTTCTCCCTGCCAAAATCTAACTGAGAGCGACAGTAACGGCGTCGAACTACTACCATTATTGTATATTGTATAGTTTTCTTCGTCATTCCCATCCGCAGTCATCGTAACTATTTTGGTTGATGACAATGGGTGTTGCATGTTTTTCGTGGCGAAATTATGCACTTCGACGTCCTTCGAGATCCCCTCGGACGTTTAATCTATGTGGGAGAGATGCTGGAATCTCAATGTAGAGCATTGTTACCGGCGAAGGGGACAGGCAGAAGCACTGCGTGAAAGTAACCAACGAAGAAACAATGTCTTAAAGCATTTATCGCTGAGAACAACAAAATGATAAGTTATAAATAGTTTTGTATTATTTATCTTCGTGGTGGTACGTTGGCATTGGTCAAACCGAGTTGAAACCGAGCGTAGCGACACCTCGGTTCATGCTATAAGTTAGCTGCCTAAGTCGTCGCCTAACTGCAATGTTAGATATAAGAACTGTATATATATAGAATAATACTGTGGTATTTTTTGCTATTAAAAGCCATAGAAAAATATCAAGTCAACTCGCGCACACGTTAAAAAGGTTACCCCAACACTGCGTAATGCCAAGGTTCTGTTTATTGATTAAGGTATACTTGTCTTGTGCTTTAGGTACTAACACAGATAGGTGTTTCAATTTCTTCATAGCTATTACATGACATTTTTTTAATTCTGCCACGACGACTCAGATGGTTAAGTTTCTATACGCCTCCGGCAAAAGATTAAGTACAAAACAACGAGTGGTATTTACCGGCTTTGCTGCTTAGCACGAAGCAGGGGCTAAAATCGGTGAGTGGAAATCTGAGAAAAACCAGCTACTTTAAATGAACATTATTCCTATCATATGAAACATGTGAAGTTAACTCACAGGTGAAGACCTAATCAAGAAGTTAAGTTATAGTAAACTAGTTGCCTAAATATCCAGTAAATTGATTCATACCAAGACACGATCGTAGATCACTGGCAAGCTTATATCCTTCGCGACAAGCGCATCGATGTCCAGTAGCAGTAGCGATGCATTGATGCTGGCAGGGAACGTTCTCCTCACGACACGGTTTTGTACTCCCTAAAAATTGGAATGCAACCGTAAAGAAATACGTTGTCAGTACCCAAATTTTTGGTACATCAAATAAACTATATTGCAGTTGTATTTGTGTGCACTTAATAAAGCTAAGTTATTAAATTAATTAGTAAATCAACTCTGATTCCATATGAATAATGACGTAACTTTAGTTTATAGCAGCTGCGATTAAAACCCTGCGAGTTAATTTAACACTAAATATTGTCAATTAAAAATGATACATATGTTAAACCTTGGTCCCAATTTATTACTGTTATTATTAACACATAGAAACACTTTTTGTGAAGATCATTCGAAACGGTAGTCTATAACATTAAAGTCCTACAGTAAACAAAATATTTCAGTTTTGTTATAATTTGCGCAATTTGCTAACTTAAGTTCCTAACAAGTTAGAATGACGAGGAAGCTTTTGCGAATTACATGTAACAGCTCCAGAGCTTATCTGGAGCGTACAAATAAGTGACCAAAGAAAAATAAATAAAATTTGCTATGGCATAAAATTCCATGTTGAAACTAGCCATATCATGCAATTTAATTAACCTAACAGTCTCTCATCATTTGACTGTGAATCGATAACGATTAAAGCTGACTTGTTATTGCGTTGATGACATACAAAATGAATACTAAAAATGGCTTAAAAATGAACGTTGTTAAACTTGTTCGTCTTTGTCTGCTATTGAATTGGGTAAGTGTCGATTACAAGTACTTCTCGGTATAAAAGGGAGTATCTTCTTCCTCGTTCTATTTAACCTTTGAAACAGCAGTTGTGTTGAAATTACAGGAAATACGATGTCATTTGGGCACTTGATATAAGCTAAGGGATATCATTTTGAATACTTTTGGATTTTGCCTAATAATTGACAATATGCACGCCCAAAGATGTGCAAAGCTTGAATGGATTTGCTCGTTTTCAAGTTCACGATCTGTCACGTAAACGTTAGCCGCACTATATCTCAGTTCATTATCAACTTTATGGAACGATTTGCGAATTCGTCTCATCTAAGAGTGAAAGATCAACGATATGGAAATTGTTTTCACAAGACCTAATAGGGAAAAGCAGCACATATAGTGAAGAAGCGGTTGACCAAATACGATTAGAAGCAATTGCAAAATAGCGGGAAAAAATCCTAGTAGAAAATAAATTTTTTTTCGAAATACAATGTGCAGGATGATGCCAAACGTCGCTGCAACAATTATTAAGGCCACAAGCTAGACCTTTTTCATCGTAAGAGCAGCTGATATAGTCATAGATATCGCAGACAGCTACATCACAGCGAAAAGAACCGCAATGTGAATTTCAGGAAAAAAAAAAAAAAAAAAAAAGAAAATATTGGCCAGATAAGTTTCAAGCTTATGTTCAATACATACATACATACATATATGAATCGTAGTTATAAATTCATAGCTTGTTGGACCGTCACAGCTGCCCTTACCTTTTAGTATAGAGATAATTTGGGAGATCTTAAATGACTCTGGAAAGACAACTTTCGAAAAGATACGTTAAATATGTACCAACGGGAGGGCAATTATAAACAAAGCACGCTTGAAGATTTCTGATGAAACAGCAGTAAGTGAACCAGTAAGGTCGGCTGCCATAAAGTGTCAAACGATAGAATTTGTTTTCCAGTAAAAATTAAAAGTAAAAACAAAAAAAAAGCGATCCGGAAGGACGTTGAGATACGTGGTTGTGGCAGTAATTTAACCGAGCTATCGTAGCCAAATCCAGTCTCGCGGAATAAGATGAAACTAATTTAACGACTTCATTATAGTTACTAGGAACCATGTTATTGCGTTCCATAGCACTTGATGAAAAGGTATTTTTAGTATGACCGCAGAATTTTTTTATAAGGCCCCATAGAAAGATACTATAGTCTCGCCAATTCTTCTACGGTAGTCTCAAGGGACACCTAATCGATAGGTTTTCAGTGCTTTGTAACTGTGACTTTATGTTGTTGACCGATTTTATCGCGGACATATCTTCTTCTGAACTTATCAAAAGTAGACCTAGAGCTAAAAAAAGCTTCAGTGGTTCGCCATTTATAGTTAATAAACTATTTTACCGGAAAATCAGTTTCGGAAATATTATATAGAGTATCGCTTAAGAGGTTGACTGCGGAATCCACATCTGCTAACTCGTATGTTGGTATCCAATCAGTATAGAGAAGAGTACTGAAGTATGAACGAAAATTATTTATGTTAAAATTCTTCTTGGGATACCCAATTTGGTTTCAGAAAAGTAACAGCTGCAAAAACGGAATATCGGTCAGAGAAGGCATGATATATCCAGGCGACCTCTGCTATAGGCGCAGCAAGAAACAAAAACATGTGATCTATACGCGTTTTAAACTATCTCTCGTTATTCCATCGAATAGAAACAATGAACCTCTGGAGCAGAAACACTTCTCATCTGCAACTAATAAATTTATATTCGTGTAGCCAAAAACAATAACAAAAAAAATATATTATATATAACGATTATTAGAGTAATTTTCAGCGATAGTGCACTCAGCAGATAGCAGGCTCAGGTAGCCATTTTACGACTTGTTTAAGATCATCAGACGACAATAAAAAGTCTTTGGCCATACGCAGTCCAATGAACTTACGAAAATAACAGGAAGTACCTCCACCGTCACGCATAAAACGGCCCTTAGCAACGTGTTGGAAATCATGAGTTTTTAAAAGCGGCAATCTGGTAGAAGAGTCGCGGAAGTTTCCACACCATAAGTGTTGCTTCCTGCTTGGAATCATGCTACGGCTATTATTAGTACGGCCTCTTGACCCCCGTAACGGCGTAGTAGATCACGTGAACTTTGAGACACGTGATGTCTATGTTCGAATCAGAGCATACACGAGCGTCGTTTCGTACTGGGAATCAGTTGCCTAATCTAACAGCTTAGTTGTCGGTCATAACACTCAAAAAATAGGTTACAACATATTTACATACAACAGGCCTGACAAGGTGTTTAGGTTACATGGTGAATTTTGTAATAGAAAGTTTCCTTTTCTAAACGTGTGTGTTCATTGCCTAACTTCTATAATTTCATGTAGCTTATTTCCCTCCAGTGTCGCGTCATAGTAGTTAGAACAGTTGCCACATGAACAGTAAGAAAAAAGCAATAGATATAACCTGGCGGGAAAAATAAGCACGAGTGTTAATCTGAATGCGGGCTCAATAGGGTTCCTCTCTGCCACATTGCCTTCAGAATGATGATTCGCTTCTTAGGAATATACTGTACTGTAAGCAAGCATACACGAACCACTAGTAATATTGTAGGTCCAAAAAGTGCGTATCTTTCAGACTTTCAACGAGGATACGTCACCTAGAAATACCTAATGTAAACCACCTTCACATTAGTAGCTTGTTCAATAAGACTCTAGAGTCCGCAAAAGATGCTTTCCACAAAGCAGCGGTATATCAAAAAACAACACTGACATATGACATTAGAAAAAATGTTTGCTAATAAGGAAAGTTATATAGGACCAGTCTTGAAGTAACCTTGTGACGTTTCACAAGACTGAGAGAATACAAACTGCCAAAAGTTTCGGGCGCGTCCGTTGCTGAGATATGTTCGAGTGAATTCCGGTAAAAATACCGGAATTCACTCGAATTTGCCGGAATTTTAGCCACAGAAGATTGTAGTGGTTTTTCTCTACCGTTTCAAAGAGTTTAGGTTTTTTCGTTCGACTATGTTTCATCATAATCATTTCGATAGACAATTTTTTGTGATCTTTCGAATGCGGTGGGCCTGATACGGCCAGTACGATTGTCAGCACATTCTCTACGTGTAATATAGTAGTCGAAATTGGTTTCCATCTTGCCACAGGCGTTATTGCTCATCACCGAGACATTGGTGCTTAGAGCATTATTCACTGAAGTACAGAAAATTGAATATAATCCTCAAAAAATCAGATAATTTTCAGCATCCCTTTCGAAATATTGTCGTTATTTGATAATACCTTTAATTTGTATGATCGAGTTTTGACACAATTTTGAAAGTTACTAAAATCTTTGGTAGAAATTATTGTGGTATAGGCATTAGTAATAGCTAAAAACGAACAGGAAGAACGAGTCTTCTATTTAGAAGGAACGAAACAAATTAAATTGGTAAACAATTGGATACGCACGTCCATATCTTCTAATTCACGTACAGAAGGGTTATTATTTTGTGTGGATTCTCAATGAACCGCGAGAGAGCTGTTGCGTTCAGTCTAAGTGCAGTAAGTTTTAGAGTGCAAACACTTCACAATAAATATGATAAAAAACACTAAATAAAGATCTCAGAAAAACTTGAATATATATATATATATATATATATATACTTCAGAAAAAATAAATACAAAAAAAAAATCCTAAAAACCAAAAACTCGATGTTACATCATACTTTAGGCGCTAAACTTTATCGTATTCGAAAATCAATTCTACTAACACTTAATATATTGCTAAAATTGTCTTTCGAAATAAAAAATCGAAAAATTTATTCTGTATTGCCAGTTTTATGAATTGAATGAAAGTGTACTTCCATAACACAAACAGTAATTATAACTCTCTTTGTATTTCCGGATCGATTTGATTATAAAATCGATAGAAAGTATCCTTTATTGCGGAAATTATCAATAGTCAACTTTAAGAGGTATAAATTCTGATGAATATATAACTTTTTGAATGAAGAAAAATCGTTGCTATAAACACTTATGGAACCTGGATACTGCAGTCCTTGTCTAAATCAAGGACATAATGTACCGGGGAAATAAATTGCAGTTGCAGGTATAGGTGTTGGCAGCTTTCAAGGCTACGTAATCTCTGGATGTTTCGAGTTTTACGTCCGACTATACGCTTCCAGCGCGAAACGAAGTGTGTCTATGTCCGGGCTCAAACCTAGAGCGCACCGTGTCCCTAAGATTGGCAGCCAACACAGTACCCACTAAGCTATTATGGGGACAACGATGTGTAATCTAATCAGCTTCGAAAGGTTCGCTAGGGCTGTAGTTCTTGTTTTTTGTTCATTATGAATCATATCACACATATAAAGTTCAGTTCTATTAAAGCAGAATTTTCCTGGTTTTACGAAGTCATGTAGCATTAGAATTTGTTTATTATGCCCGAAGTTGTGGCTCGGTATATAATGGTTTCGTGTAGGTAACAACCTTTATTCTGGAAACGAAGAGCTAAACGTTTCCGGTCTTCACTATTTTAAGAATGGGAATCTCAGCGTTTTGTATATAAGTCTACATACCAAGCATAAACAACTTAAAGTTACGTACGAATTGACGAAAAAAAGAAATTTGAAAGCGTACAAGTAGCAGCTATGCCGATGCTTAAGGCGAGCCTACAACGTTCTTTAAATTCTAAAGCATCACACTTAAATGGCAATGTGTTGGACTCTCAAAAGCTGATTCCGTGTACATAATATGTACATTAAACATGTAGACGTACGAACACAGAAGGCACTACAGATATCTATTGTGTTACTCGATTATGATTTTAGAATTGAATGGCGATCTATTTGGGCAACTCGCTGTTTTTCTCTTGTAAAAAAAAAATCGGTGTTGCACGGATCACTTACGGCAGGTGGTGTTGGCCGATTCGTCTGAACGATCAGGACAATGTGGTTCTCCATCGCAGACATTTTTTTCCGGTATACAACTGCCATCGAGACATCGAAATTGTCCAGGAACACAACCGATGTGACCTAACGCACCAATGAACAGAAAATGATGTTTTTTTTTTAGGTACTTCCACGAAATTTAAATAAGCGATCAAATAAGGTATACATTTTTTTTTTCTACATAGCACACGACTTCAGGTGTAAGATATATTGGCAGGGGTGTCCCTAGTAAATCGTAACATTGGCTAATTACGTTAGACCAATTTCATGCGCTGCAAGGCATGTGATATTCAGTCTTGGTCGCGACGTGCTATTGAGTGCACTCTAAGCGTTCCTGGTTATTTTTGATCACGTTAAAGTCTACCACCATGATTCTTAGTTAGTGTATACTTTCAGGTGGCCCGTTCTGCTGAAGCTTCGAATAATCCTTCGAAAGGAAAGACCGAAATTCTTATTAAAAGATATAATACATTGAAAGTTAGAGTGAAGATTTTCTTTTAATTTGATACTCAAATTGTTAAATTTGACCTCGAAACACATCTAGACCATGGAAGCAATAAATAAAAGCACGGAAAATCAATTGCGAAATAACACCAGAAAATCGGGCGTTGAAAACTTATGATGCTCATGAATGATCTTTGAAATTTACCAGCATGGTTTTTCAACTTATAGAAATTATGACATGTCCTATATAGGTGCGTTAAGAAACTAGTCTTCTGAAAAATACATGATAAGCAAACAAGGACTATCTACTTAGTGGCGAGGTTTTTGAGATTAGCTATTCCAAAAATGATGATTATAAGCGCCCTTGATAGATAGTAGAAAGGTCACACCGATACCGAAAGCATACGCAGGCCACTTTTCCTAGTTTACGACAGTTTTACTAGATTAGTAAATAATTATAACAATAACACGGATGTAGGCATCATTCAGTAAACAAAAGCGATCCATGCCAATTTATTTCATAATTTTCACGAAGCGCACCGTTTTACCCACAAGTGCTTAGCTTGCGGTCTTTTTTGCCTAGTGCTTTAACAATATATATGAATCGAGTATTTCTTTGTTAAGCAGAGTCACGAGGTAACAACAAAAGTGACAGTCAAAGCAAGGTTAAAGTGTGCAAAAAGTTCTATCCCGATGTATAACCATTGCTAATTTGTTTATCAATTCCGTAGTCCTCAAAGAAGAACCGCTGGCCCTGCCTCTGGAAATTTTTACCCTAAAGATAGCCTTTTATGCCGATATAACTTATATCAAGCCACGTTATTCCAATTCACGGGTTCACGGGGAGCATAGCTTTGAGAGCTGCACATACAATTGTATTGAACAAGATCCAAATCCCTGTGTGCCGCATTTTCTCAATATACAGTACTAGTTGATTTGAAATCAACAATCTATACCTGATCGTGTATGTTTATTAGAGAAACTAGACTACACGTGTATTCCTAAGATCCTATTGTAGCTGCTAGCTACCATCTCAGCAAGAGAACACAGATCACAACCTCAGATGACCGGGTTGGCCTAGAAAGGCAATCTTATCTCTTGGTGCTTCCGGCCAGCTTTCTGATCTTTTTCGCACTGATAAGAAGTGTCAAAGACGCACTCATCTTGGTTTACAAGGACGGCCTCGTGCTCTACTACAAAACTGGGTAGTACATCCAACCGTTACTTACAGAGTTATTTATTCACGAACGACCTACTATTTCATGCCCTAAGAACGAAATCAATGAATTTCTGGTAAGAAGTGCCCAGCAAATAACCTTTTTTTGTTTTAAAGCTAACGTTAAAATGATATCAAATCTTCGTTAGCAGAATGTAGACCTATCCATGACGGATTTTTCGTTCACTCTCCATATCAAAGAAAGGGTCCACACCAAGACAACCACTATCTACTTCAGTTTACTATGCACGGCCTGCATTTATGCATTCTACGGATTACGTATCATCTTCTGAGCGCTTTCCGCCACGCCTCTAAGCCACCATGGCTCATATGCTCAACACAGTTTTCTAGTATACACCCAGTTCTGGTGTGTATATAAAGTGTTCGAGATAATTTAGGAGACATTTAAGGGGGCCTTTTGTCGTAGCGTGCTTAGTATTAAAAGAAAACCAGTCTCTACGAGAAAAAGAAAAGGCGAACTCATGATGACAGAGGCGGAATATGAGCAACAATCATGTTGTTGATACCTGTTCTCAACAGCATATTGCTGCTAAGCCTACATGTACCTGGACAAAATCACTAGTTATATACGTTAATCTTATCACCGTGCACATATTGCTTGCACACACGATAAGTTAAAATTAGTGCTCGTTCTACACCTTAAATGCTTAATTGATACGTGCAATACGTTAGCTTAATGGTAAGGAAAAGGAGTTTAAGTTAAAAATATTGTTTCCTTATCCCAGTTAATATGGAAAAAGTAGTGACTGTCACCGTGTGTACACGAACCAACATTTTCATAGTGGCAGGTATAATCTTAAAAACAAGTCGCTCGTGGACGTTAACCATTGCAACAAACGGGTTGTCAGCCATAAAGGGCACAGGCATTGCTGGTCCATATCTAACTTATGGATAGAACTAACGTCCGATGGAAAGGCATATCGTATGTAACACTCCGCCTCAGGGTTAACATGAGGCAATGTACGCTTGCCCATGGTTTTCGGTAGAGAGTGAAGAAAACATGGTACTACTGTGACCCTTTTTCTAGCTAACCCCCGTAATACAGCGGTGCAGTTCAGTATACAACATACAGACGGTACAAGCTGATAATCAGTCGCGCATTAAAAGACCATCACCTAACCCCCAAAGTGCTACTGCTTGCAATTTCAAACTGTGCGATTAACTTAGAACTATATAAAGTTGCTTTGAAGTCTCGTTTTGACTTATCGGCGTAAAGCAAGACGTCTAGTGGCAAACACATTTAAAAATCGGGTTCATATTGGATGCAATGGTTAGTTTCAACTTAACAATACATTTTTCATTGACTCTAGCTAATTACTACCTAATGGTCTGTCCTAACGTACAGCAGCGCTACTTTAGTAGTTATGTCTTGAGCAGTTGTATAGCACGCTGCTGATGGTATACATGTGGATAAAATAAGAGATTTTCATGTTGGATAGATCTACGATCTTGTCTTGAATGTACTGACTTGAAGGTTACATCAATCTTATATGTCTTTTATAAGCGTTGTTACTCTTCCAACATACCCGCCACTTTCATCTGCAATATCTACAAAGTTACACAAGCGAAAGAAACGTGGACATGTCATTGCTTGCTAGAGCTACAATGGCCGCTCAAGTGTCGCTTAAAGTCGCCGAACTGCATAGCTTAATGTAGAAATGCGACTACGAACACTTCGGAAAGCTGTGATACTACGGGGGCATTTATTAAGCTGTTGCCCGACTATTGTTTCGCGTAGCGGTCACGTGGACTAGAAACCACGATTGCAATCGCGTGGCACCATTAGGTCCTGTCCTGCTTTTCTATTGTCAAGCCGCAGTCGGGACAACTCAATCAGACCAACAAGAAACACCACTAATGCGTAACGGGTTAGTGGAAGGATCATAACTGTGACTGGGTAAAATTGATTCTTTAATATGCTTTCTTACTTCTGTTTTGTGGTCAAGGGACAATAAATGCCATCTTACAAAACTGGGTAAACCGACCATTTGCGCCTGTTTTTTTTTTGCTGAAACCTAACGAGCTAAAAAAAAAAAAGCAATACATAATTGCCTCGACAATTTCCTACTGGGGGAGACTAATTGAGCTTTACTGTGAATTAATTGCGAAACGCACATATTTTTGTATACGTATTGATAGATAGGAAATCGGATTGCTGATCAGGAGGATGCTGATGAGTATAATATGAGTTTTCATACATCTTTTCAGAAAAGGACCGTACTAAAGTGTAGCATTTCTTGCAATCGTCGATTGTTGCCATTACGCTGCCCCCAAACATTGTAGCGTTGCAATTTCGGCAAAGCAAAAATAGATCGGAGATTCTGTTAGGAGGGAAATTAGATCGACTGCATGGTCATCGAATAAGGCCATAAAATAAAATCTATATGATAATGGATTTTCGTATGACCGAAAACGACGGCAAATCTATGATCAGTACGGTGAATCTGATGAAAATCGGATTTTTCCGATTGTCTCGTCCCAACTACATCTGCATTTGCTATTTTAGTCATCAATGCTGGAAAAATAGGATGTTGGTGAATATGGTCCGTTGACAACCACACTTGGCAGAAATAATTAATAAATATATGATATAAATGAATAAAGCACACAGCATATTTATTATAGTTATAATATGCTGGACTATAATAGTATAGCAGTACGCTAGCGGTGCGCATGCCGTTGACACGTAAGACGAGCGACACGTATATTTGTATAAAACATTTTTTTCGTCGTCAAACAATTTCTTAAGTATGACTTTACGCCGCACTGCGGACTTTGTTGTGAGACGTTACGCCGGATACGCCTTCAAATAAGAACAGTAATTTATTTAGTCAAAATTCGTATCTTTTAAACTGAGATGTATTTTGATATGTGTATAATATTTCAGACACAGTCTCGTAAAGGAGGCCATCTTCTCTCAGTATAATTTGTCTCCATATAGTAATTCGCCATTTAAAAGTTTCAAAAGGTAAATTAACACAGTGGCGAAATGGAAGCGACATCAGCCTTGTAGCTGGAATTTCTTGTTCGACTTTTAGATCAGACCCATCAGAGGAATCTGCTAGCTTAAAAACTGTTATTTCTATCTCCTTTTAAGCACATAAGGTGTCCAGCAGCATTAATGTAACCCATACTTATCTCTCGATATAAAAATGACCCAGAATAAGTCAAGCTTAACTGGAAATTTGTTTTTTGCTTATTTCCATACTACTAGACTACTAACCGTCATACTGGAACAGTACACATTTCCACAAAACTAAATCATGTTAGGTAGGTGCTATCAGTTCGCTATTATATGAGACCAGCAATAAAATTTCGACCGAATAAATAAATAAATTTTCGACCGAAACACGCTCATTTTTAAATCCCTTCCTTAGCCTTAACAGCGGCGGCCTTAACAGCA